CCCCCCCCCGAAGGTGCCCACCGTGAGGAGCGCTTCCTGCCTGTGTGGCCTCTCCTGGCACCAGCCCCTCCCTGGCCTGGTCTGCAGTCAGGTATTCCCCAGGTCAGCCTGTTGGGGAGCAGAGGGGGCAGGTGGCTGGGGCTGCTGGGTGTTGTAATCCAGCCTCCCCCCCCCCCCAGGTTCAGAATGAGGTTGCTTGGGCCAGGGGGAGGGGGAGGCCCTCGCTTGGAGGGGCCCCTCTGGAAGGAGCAACGCCCCCACCCCGCTCCCAACGGAGTGGCTCAGTAGCAGCCCCTTTGCCCAGGAAAGGGAGGGGCAGCCGGCCCCTCTGGGGATGGGAGACCACCAGGAAAGCCCAGGGCGGTGCGTCGGGGGGGGGGGGGGGGGGGGGGGGGGCTTCCGCCTCTGCAGCAGCGCCGGGAGGGGGGCGGCGGGGGAGCCCCCTCCCACCTGCCGCAGAGGGAAGCCTCCCGCAGGAAGGAGGGCGGGGATTAGCCGGAGGAGGAGGAGGAGGAGGAGGAAGGCGGCCGCAGCAGCAGCCGCCGCCGCCGCCGCCGAGCGAAGGAGCGGCCGGGCGGGCGGAGGGAGGCGGCGGTTGTCGAGCGAGAAGAGACGCGCGGCTCCCTCCGGCTGCCCCTTCCGCAGGGCCGGCGGCGGCGTGGTTGGCAGGCAAGGCGGCGGGGCGGCGGGGCGGGCGAGCCCGGGGCTTTGCGCCGCAGCAGGCCTCGCCGGGGCCGGGCGGGCGAGCCGTGCAGCCCCCCAGGGCGGGCGGGCGCAGCGGGCCCTGCAAGGGGGAGGGGTCTCCCTGGGTGGGCGACCCGACCCTCCCCCTCCCTCCCTCCCTCCCCCCCCCCCCCCCCCCCCGCAACCCGCCCGGCCCCCCCCCCCCCCCCCCCGCAGGAGGAGCCCCCCGCCCCCCCCCCAGCAGGGCCGGGCAGAAGAGGCGGATCCCCGGCCGGACTTTCTCCTGTTGGGCGGCCGAGCGGAAGAAGGGAAGCCCCCGCCTGCCTTGGCCGACAGATGCCCGGCTGGTAAAAGTGGATCTTCCGCCCTTGTGATCCGTTCGGCCTTTAAGGTCGCGATGGGGATCCGCTGGCCCCGCCGGCGGCCTTTCTGAGCCGGGGGGGGGGGGGAGGGCCCCCCCCCGCCCCCCCCAATGGGGCCCCCCGGCCGGCCCAGGGCCCCCCCGCCGGGGGGCGCGGGGAAGAAAGGGGGGCCGGGGCCCGGGGGGGGGGGGGGGCTGCCTGGCTGCCCCCCACCCAGGATGGGGAAGTGACTCCTCCTGCAGCCGAAGGAC